TACTGATTAAAAAGACAGGAGGTGGAGCTGAGACACACACCTTTCTCAGCAGGTTAGAGGATGTCAGTTTGCAGTGACTACCGTCACTAGATATTTTATTGAGGGTAGGGATGATGTACCAGTTAGTAAGTTGTCAGTGTGCAAAGTAAGAAATCTTCTGAAGCTTCCAGGATCTGTAGCTGTACCTGGCGATATGTGGACTAACACCAGCTGTGAAGAACATCAGCTCATATTGAAAGAGATCCACAGATTTATCACGGCAGGGCGTTTGTGGATTTTGAGGCCCTCAAAATCTGGAGCCATTCCTACCCTCAGTCTGGACTGAAGTAAGAGTTGTGTTTCTGTCATAGCCTTGGCTAGCTTAAAGTGACGCTACCTTCTGCCAGCTTCGATTATTTTCTGCTACTTCTGCTTTAGTTACATCCATTTCTTCAAGATGAGATAGCTTTTATTGAACTGTGAATAATAAGCTACTCAAGAGGCAGACTCCGATGACCCGTCTGTGCAGTGACATTGATGTGCCTTCGGTTTTGTGCCAGACTCCCCTGACAGTCCACAGTGTACACCTGACCCTATCTAGAAGTTCCACTGCAAAAAACCCTGCCTCTGATGGGGGCCATGAAACAGCCTCTCTTTACCATGCATCTTTGGGGTTTTGTAGGATGCCAAAGGAGGAGACTAGGGTTTTGGCCAACATCGCAAGGATCACATTTGACTTAATTAACAGGAATATTTCCTAGGATGCAACTAAAATGTCTAAAGGAAGATACCTGTGCTGGTGAGGGAGAAGAGAGGAGGCACATGGGTCACTGATGCAGTAGCAGTCAGAAGACGAACATCAGTGGCAGGCGCTGCCTTGAGCTGGGGGAGTTTTGCAGAATTTGCATCTCTCACTATCCCACACAGAAAGGTGATTGCAGAGTGTTCATAAACATATCTTATGCCTTACTTGTTTGTAAAGCAGCACTAACTATTTGGGAGTTGTGCACAGAAACAAGTCTGTGTTTCTGAAGGCTGCACGTTGTCCCTGCATGTGCAGTGTCAGGTGGTGCACCTGGTCCTCCTGAGGGATTTTTGTCTTGACCAGGTATTCACAGCTGAGTGTGCACAATCCTGCCCCCTCCAAGCTCCCTCTGGTCATACAGTCTGTTGTAGAAGCACTTTCAAAGCAATATCACATCAGGCCAGCTTTCTGCAGGGCCACCCTTGACTGGTTGAATCATTTCCACTATGAGTTCTTGAAGAAGGAAGATGGAAAAGGAGATCAAGATCTGCAGAATCAAAATTGGCAAGAGCTGTTTGAATGTTGATCCAAACCTTTTTTCCAGGTAGCTGAAGCTTTGCCTGTGAGAGGAGAGAGAGTGCAATGGAGTGAGGAATTATTAGAGGAAGAGACTAGTGAGGTACCAGCCACCTTAACACCATGTTGCCGGGGTCACAAGCGGCAGCATCTCCTGGGAAGAATGGAGGGACAACGTGTGAAGGTGTCTGATTCCTCTAGTTCTTATATTATAGATCTCATAACTTATGTCTGTTTGTTGGCTTAATCAGTGCCCCTGTCCATCATTACTTTGTTTGTACAGACTTTTGACTTCTGTACTCTGTTTGGGTCTCTGGGATTTTCAATTTTAAACACATACATAGAGGTGACTGTACAGTTGAAGTTACATGTTCTCTTGGCACTGTAGGTTTCTGCTGCTTTCTTTTTCCATTGCAGATCACAGCCTTACGCTAGGACAGGCATCCTGCCTCAGGGACCCACACATGCTGTGCTTAGAGACATACAGGGCAGTGGCAGGATGCACAAGGCCTGGTTAACATAGCACCAGAAGAGCCCCTTTGCAGGGGAGGTTTCTTTGAGATGGGACTGCAAGAGATGGGCAGCATCTTCATGAAAAGGAAATTCTGCTTGTAAAACTGGAGAAATCCCTTGCTTCACATGTCTGAGCCAGAACCTGGGAGCTCACAGTCCCCAGCTTGGGCCTGTCTAGCAGGTGCTGAGGGGAGGAGGATGAGGGGGAGAGAGAGGTTGAAAAGAGGGGAAAGAGAAGGATATATTTGTCACAGGGAAGGGGCGGTGTGAGTCACAAGAGGCAAAGAAGAAAGAAATGCTTGAGGGAAGTAGGAGGGAAGCACTGTCTGTAACTAGGCAGGGCCTCCACCATTACGCTGATATTTTACAGATATGGTGCTGTTGGCCCTTGAGCAAATTGTTTCTTTGTCTTTTTCTTTCAGTCTGTGAGCCAGATCCACTGCTTGAAGCAGTAACAGGCTGCGCAGCAGTGGCAGAGTGGGCCCTATCCCATTGCACCTATACACAAAGGCCTCCCCTCAGGCCTCACACCACCTGGGGAGGATGTCACGGGATGCGGTGTTACACGTGATACTGAGCGTGCTGACATGTAGCCTACCCTTCAGCAATGCCATAACCTCTACTCCGCAGGAGTTCAAGGCCCATCTGAAATTCTCGTCTGGATTTTGACTGTAGATCGTAAGGGCCTGTGCAGATAGCATGGCCACAATGCAGGTGGATGCTCTAACACCATCAATAGCCACATCCTTGGCAGAGGGGGGGGAGCCTGCTGGCCCCGCTGCAGGGATAAATGCCAGAGTTCTGGAAAACTCCAGCAAAACACACTCAGCTCGGGTAGCTCAACCTACTGTCCACGAATCATTATGTAAAGTCTACTAGACCCTACAGTATCAGGAAACCTCTCTTCTAAAGAACGTAGCTATAAGTCAGCTACAGCAGATACGTGTCTCATCTGTTGTCCTCCCACGTTTGGAGCACCCAGCTCAGGCTCATGGAGGCTGACAGCGTGGGGCAGGCAGGGAGAGAGGATTTGGAAGTCATCTTTGTGCTTTGACTGGGCGGACACCAGGCTTGGCCAGCATGAAGCGAGTGCCTACCAACCACTAGGAACCCAGAGCAAGTACGTGCCATAGGCAAGGACAGCCCTTGGGGCACAGGAGTATGGGCTCCGGAGACGGCGTGCCAACACTGGCAACACTTTGCAAGGTTGCATGGCCCCTAGTCTCCTGGGAGAATATTTCTGGGTGAGTAAATTGTACTCTTTGTAAGCTCCCAGACTTCTCCAATTGGGGTCCATTAGCAATTATTCTGCATATAAAAGGCCAGCTGGAGCCAATGCTTGTCCCACAGGGCTGGCTACTCGAGTACCCACATTCTCTAGCAAACCTTGCACGTTGTTTAACTTGACAAGGCATTGTGTCTAACATTTCTCTCTGTTATGTCAATCAAATTCTCCCTCTGCACACATATTATGTATAAATGGCAGTTTTCCTTCTGTTCCAGCTACCATCAGTCTTCTGGCTTATCACAGTGGGAATTATGTATTTTTATGATACGCAGACCATGAATCTTGTCAGAGTGCCTCAGGCAACCTGGGACGGGGGAGGCAGAACGTAGAGGAAGAATGTGCTTTATAAAGCTTTTTCACAGTAACAGAAATGATGCCAGGAACTTTTCTCTCTTAAACAAGAGTTATTGGCATGCAGGAAGAGCCAGTGCACCAGAAAACAGAACCAGCTGTGGAACATGTAGGAACAACTAAAAGTACATTTCCTACTTAATCAGCTCAATTGATGGGAGTGGGCAGATCCAGAGTGGAGCTAGGAATTGCATAAAGTCTAGAACTTCTGTTAATTTCTGAGTGTTCTCTCCTTCCCATAAAGGGCTACAACTTTTAAGGAGCGTGGCAAATGCTATTAGCTTTAAGTGGAAAATGTTGCTCTGAGTAACGTACCAAATACTGCCAGCCACAGCAGTCTGAAACAAATTAAGGGGAAAAAAAAATTAAGAAGTTAATGCTTACAAGACTAGGGTAGAAACAAACAAACAGGAAAGTTGTTTCTTACCATACAATTCAGCTCTGGGATTTCGTTCCTGCACACGAATCACATTCTAGTCAAACTGATTAACTGTCCTTTTTTTTTTTTTTCTTGTTTTAATTGAATTTACTAATTGTTCTATCCCACCCTTCATCCCAAACCTCTAATCTCCCTCAGCTCCTCTTTTAATTAATCATCGTCTAATTTTAAAAGCCTTAAGTGGTGCTGTGATGATTCAGGAGATCTCTACAAACTGCCGGTGAAGTATTTTATGAAATCTCCTATATGACCATTTTCACACTTTAATGAAGGCAATCAGCTTTCTGGGAGACAGTTGCATCATGCATTTTATGGAGCAGAGGCTCCTAGAGTTTGCACTGGTGAGAGCTCACATTATGATTTATGCCTGCAGGGACAGCTAGCAGAAGCAGCGTATCCAAAGTATCCTAGCCGCAGGGAACGCCTGGACTCTTTTCAGTTTGCAAG